AAGTCATGTTGACTTCTCTTACTGCAGCCTATTTATAGATGCATTAGATTAGGGCTTTGGCTGCTGCTGCCGCATGCGTTTAATATACAGATTCTGCTTTTCAATTGCGGTCATATACATGCATTGGTAAAAGAGATTTTTGCAGCATCCTTTATATGTTGGTCTGCAGCCATGCATTAGGAAGAAAAGAAAACCATATTTTCTTCATTGTTTTTTTAGAGTATTGCTCCATGCGTTAGGTTTTTTACAAGTCATCATCTATCATAATTTTTGCTGCTGCATGTATTAGAACATGCTTTTGGTTTTGGTTTTTGCTACCGTAAGCATTGATATTTGTAGTATACTCTGTATCGCTGCATGAAATATCATCGGAGATCAAAAGTATGTTAGCAGCCCCAAGTGCACAGAGAGCTATTTTCATTCCAGAAAAATCAGTAGCTTTATTGCCAAGTGTTTTTAAGGAGAAAGTTTATTTAGTTTTAATCACTGATGTTTCATTGTGCTTTAAATTGAGATCAATTATGAAAATGTACATTGTGATTTTCGTAATTTATTGTTTTTCAAAAATTATTTTATCATATATTCATTCTGCATGATCGCGTTATAGTATCCTGCAAAGTTCGAGGATAAGGTGATTGACGACCGCGTTAGCATCGTGCCACTTCCACTAGAAGGTAGAAGAGAGATCGAGTAGCAAAGCGCGGAGACAAAACTTCATACTAGCATGCGTGTCTAGTTGATGAGTTTTGTAAGTCTTTTTGTACTCATTTCTCTAAGTGCTTGTCCTGGCTTGGGAGCCCGAGGATTTTCCCAATGGTGGGTTTTGCCTCGTTAAATCCATCATGTGTGCACATTTTATTTATCTTTATAATTGCACATGTGTAGGATAATTTATATGTAATGTGAATGTGGAATTAATTTGAGAATTGAAAATTAAATTGAATTTTTTAAATTGGAACCTAATCACCCCCCCTCTAGGTTAAACTAGTACCATCCTAGAAACTTTCATTTGGTACCAGAGCAGGTCACTAAAAATACTTAGTGAGATTCATGGGTAGTCTAGGATGAATCATGCTATGGGTTCAATTTCTCATCCACCACACTTTGATGGTGACAACTATGCTGCATGGAAGGCAAAAATGAAATCATATTTGTGGGCGCAAGATGACAAGGTGTGGCTTGCTGTTGAAGAAGGTTGGGAACCTCTGACGATCAAAGAAACAAAAGGTGAAGGAAAGTCCTTTGATTCTATATCTAAGCTCAAGCCTAGGAAAGAATGGAGCAATGATGAGCGTAGCTCTAGCACTTTTAGCCAAAAGGCTTTGAATACTTTATTCACAGCCGTTTCGCCTGAACAATTCGATTACATAAGCAAGTGTACAATGGCGAAAGAAGTTTGGGACATTCTTGAAGTTACTAAACTATTAAAGAATCCAAGTTTCAACATCTCATCACAAAATTTGAAAATATCACAATGTTTGATGATGAGAGTTTCTTTGACTTATATGCTAAGCTTAGCGTAATTGTCAATGGCTGCCACAATCTTGGTGACAGTATTCCAGAATATAGAATTGTGAAAAAGATCTTAAGATCACTTCCTAGAGGTTTCATATTAAAAGGACTACAATTGAGGAATCGAAAGATCTAAACACCTACAAGCTCGAACAACTGATTGGCCCTCTGCAAACATGAATTAGAGTTTCCTAATTCCAATAAGATGAAAAACATTGCTCTCAAAGCTATCAAAGAAGAAGAAAGCGATGGCTCAATGGATGACTTGTTCGAAGATGAATTGGTTGCATTAACCATGCAAATTAGAAGGTTTCTCAACTCTCAGAATTCCAAGGGTCATGAGCAACGAACTAACTTAGGTTCAAACTCTAGAAACTTTCGTTCTCTAGATGTCTCACATGACAAAGCATCTAAATCTTCTAGAACTAGTAAGTGTAAGAGTTCTAACAATAGAGCGCAATGTCATGAATGCCAAGGGTATGGACATATTGCTTATGAGTGTGCAATTACTATCAAGAAGAAGGAGAAGAAGAATAAGGCAATGAATGTTACTTGGAGAGATAATGATTCAGGAGATGCATCTTCCTCTGAAAATGAGAAGGATACAACTGCCTTTATAGGAACTATTGATGGATATGACACAGAAGGTTCATTTGTTGAAGAACCTGACTTGAAAGAAGTCTTGAGAAATATTCTAATCTTTAAGACATCAGTGTGCAAGTAAAGAAAAGAAGGATAACTCTAACTCGAAAAAGAAACTTGCATTAGCTGAAAGTGAAAAGAAGGAAGCTAAAGTTGAGCATCAATCTTAGTTAGACAATAGAGAGAAACTGTGAGAGTCATTGTTAGAGAAGATACATATTCTTCAAACCACAAAAAGCACTCTCACGTTTGATAAGAAAGTTCTTTAGGATGAACTAGTTGAGATAAAAAACAAAGTTCAGGAATTAAGCATGTTCGGGAAAATTTGACAAGATGCTTAGCTATGGAAAGAATTTTGGAGATAAAAAAGGTTTAGGATTTGAGTTTGAAAAGACTATTAGTTATTCTTCCATCACAAGATTTGTCGAAGCGTTTGATATTTCCTAGCTTGAAAGTAGCTGTCAATCAAGTTTTAGGTCTTACTTCTGAAACTTCTACAATCTTTGCAAATGTGTCAAATCCTACCAAGACTTCAGTTAATCCTAACAAACCCAAACAATCTAGGAAGTTCATTCCTATATGTCATTTTTGTGGGATTCCTGGTCACATCCGGCCTAAGTGCAATAAGCTTAGGAAGAAAAATTTTTCTCAAGAAAAATGTTTCAATGAACTCTAAAAAAGCAAATCTTAAGAAACAATTTGTGACTTATTTGAAAGAGATTAATCGGATTGCAAGAATTATATATGTTCCGAGTACGGTTGTTCCAAAAGTGCAACAAGTTTGGAGAATAAAAGAGAATCAAAGTGGTGTATTTGTCAATTCCTCTCCACCTTCAAATTGTTTATATTGACTGAGCTCTCTCTTTGCAAATGCTTTCATTTATGTATGCTTGCATGTTCATATAGCATTGATACTGCATTTTTCTGTCTTCTTGTTAAAAAAATATATATATATGAGGTAAAATGGAAAAGTATGATTTCATATGAGTTCTAGCTTTGTTCACTTGATAGCATGACCCTAGCATGATATGTTTGACCTGTTGTGGACAATAGCCTCTTATTGATAATATATGAATGTTAATGAGTTGAACATGTTTAGCTTGAGTAAAACCCGCACCCATGTGAGCTTTTGTGCCTAAATATAGTGTATGCATTTTTTATACTCTTTTTAATTCATGTGTGCGATCTAAAGTGTTTTGCATCTCTAGAATTTGCCTTGAGATCTCTCAAAACTTTGTATCATATATTACTTTATTTTGGAGACGATAGTAGGTATTAGAACTTTACCACCATTGCCATATATGCCAAGGCCTTATATATGTTTTTCCCCTATTCAGTTCTTATGAGCCTATATGTAAGCCTTTTGTTCTTAAACCTACATTTTCCTTACCTAGCCTCTTATATTAAAAATTCCCTACCCTACTAAGAAGCTAGTAGAGTACGTTTTTTAAAAGGAGAGAGAGTTCAAGGTTATTAAAAGTTGAAGATGAAAATTTTATAAAGAAAGCCCAACTACTAATGAAGAACAAAAGAAGAAAAGAGGAAAATAAATCATTATGAGTCACAAGTGAGCTGCCATCATCAGATATTCATTGTGCAGTTATGTGTCGTTCATCAAACTGCTCAATTTATTGCCTTGGTTAATTGTCGCACGTCTCTCTCGGTTTCATTTCCAACTACTCTATTAGTTTCTTAGACTTTGTGTTTCCCATATGCTTCATTTGATTAACCAAGTCATTGAAGCGCCTTTACAACCCTTCACAAAGACCTACTTGATCCAAAGAAGGTAATTTTTTATGTGTGGAGATGAGATCAATCTGCATGCTTATGGTAGAGCATTCATATAATGATCTTTTGAGCGTATACACTTTAACCCCAAACACTTTGAATGACAATTTGAGCATATGTCTTGTGAGCTTAAGGGTTAAATTTAAGTGTGTGTGTGTGTGTGTATCTCCCCTCTTTTTTTCCCTCTCCTTCCCTTCCCTCCTATTTGAACAGTTACGGTTAAGCCACGTCAACATATATTAGATTGATTTTATATAGAAAGAGAAAGACAAAATAGAGAATATGATCCAAAGTTGTCAGCAATGATATCATTTGATCCAAACTATTCCTCAATTCCTCTTTCAACGTTTCTTTTGAGGTCAAATTAACTAATTTCTACCAAAATTTTCTTGCACGTTTAATTAAGTACAACACATTCTCTTCATTTTCCTCCAATAATATTTTAATACACTTTGTTCGCTTATTATCGTTTTGGATTAGCGACACCTGATTTTCATTTTTTCGAAGAAGATTATAAGTTCAAATTTCACAGGGAATCATTTTAGACAACCTTTCTAGACATCATGACTTATTCTTATTCAATTTATCCTATAAAAATAAGAAAAAACAATACTAAGGTCTGGCTAGTGGATTAGAGAGGTCTTAATTAGTTTTGAGTTGTCTTAGTTAATTTAATAAACACGCTTGGACACATTTCAAGTCAAATAAGACTTGAGTCATCACAATATGATTCAATTTTTGTGTGTGTATGTGTGTTAAAGTATTCATGTCGTGTAAAAGGTTAGCACACACCGATACTATACCTCAGCGTACTAAAACTTCAATTAAAATAGTCAACGTTCAAACTTCAAAGGTCTTATACACGCTTTTACTTGCATGCCAAACTCCAATCTCAGTTAAAAATTGCGATGCAAGAAAATTATATCTTTATATACTAAAACCCAATCAGGGTGGTACTGTGGATGACCAGTGGTGGGACGATTTTGCCCCTCCAAATTTTTTCCTCTTTGCGCTTTGTTTCAGCTTTTCTACACTGAAATGACGCTTATACCCTTGCTTTCCAGGTGTTAGCCATTGCTGCATCCTCTTCATGCTTCTATTGCTTTTCATTGTTTTGTCTCGAACTGCTCTTTCATTGTTTTCGGTTTTGCTGTCCGTGGCTCTGTGTCGCTATCTTCTTTCTCGGTCTCACTCGCTCTCAGACTGGATAGTTTTTCGGTGAGTTATTCGAATCTTGCATCTGGGAGCTTTTTTAACCAAATCTATCGATTTTGTTTTGTTCAATTTGAAGTGTTAAAAATTGAATAGTTTTTGGGTAAAATTTTTAATTAGATTGTGTTATGGGTTGTGATCAACCATTGACTTGGTTTGGGAGTTTTGATTTAATGCGAGAGGTGGGGAGTTTTCTTGGGTGAAATTTTAATTAGATTATGTTTTGAGTTTGAGAATTTTCTAGCTTGCTTATCCAAGCATGCAATTTTGGTAATAGACTTGGAAGGAAATCGGTTTCGAGGTTTGCCAGATTTGTGGAGTTGTGATTGGGGGTTGAAGATTTTGGTGTTTTTGCGTTTGTTTTCATCTGCGATTGACGAATTTTGGCCGGATCTGTTCCCTGTTTTTTTTCTCTGTTTGAACGACGGCTGCCTTTCGGTTGTTAAGCGACGACTGTCTTTAGATCGTTGGAGAATAAATTTATTACAACTGAGGTATATTTCATAACTGTTGTGTTTCACTTTTGGTTCTGTGTTTTTGTTAATTTGGATGAAGTTCTAATAATTTTGTTTTGGATTAGTTGTTGTCCTCTGTTAGGAGGTTTGTGTTTAAGACTTGAGAGTAGTGGGGTCTCTTTCTTGCAGGTCCTGCTGACACCAACTCATCTAGCCATTGTGATGGAGTAACTGGGGGAGAACTCTTCGAGAGAATAATCAGTGCTGGCAGATTTAGTGAGGATGAGGTAAAGTAGTTTCAAAGGCAGAGAAAATTTTATCGAAAATGTTTTTAGTGTACAGTCGGAAATATGGGATGACTGAATGTCCCTTGAAATGGAATCCATCTCGATTTTTGTTTAGTTTTAGATAGGGAAAGTTAGGTCTGAAGCATTTTTACGTAAACAGTGTCATAATATAACTAAAACTTACATAATTTTCCGATTTAATTGTTGTTTTGCATCAGGCAAGGAGGAAATAATTTGTTTCAACAGTATACAACTTAGTGTCAATAGTATACGGCTCAGTTTTTGAATAACACTCAGGTAGTTTTCGAATAACAATATTACTAATTAGTTTTCTAAATGCCAATTACAGCTCTAAATTTTGTCTTAAGTGGAGTATTCTTAATAATGTGTCATTTTGTTGGCACATCAGTATGTTTTGATTGTATCTCTGCTTAGACAGAGAATTGTTAACGTCTGGGTGAGAACGTGGGCTTGCTCATGTTTTAGTCTCTCTGTCGTATGCAATTTTACTTGGCATTCTTCAATGTAGCTATAGTTAAGGTAACACTCTCAGTATTTCATAATCAAACCACCATTTGAACTTTTTTCATCCACAAAGTTAGGCTTTTATGTGTCATCTTGAATAGTTATACGTTATTGCTTCAGATTACTCCAGTGCGACATTGTTGTTCTCTTACTTACCTCTCAAGCTTGCTTAATATACCTAATCTTATTATTGTTGTATTGTTAAGGAATACTCAACCGCGGTTCCAGTTCATCGTTATGAATCGGCGCAATACGGGTACAAATTCTTTACACCCACGGTACGAATTCTTGACACCCAATGTTAGTTCCTATATTCTCTCATTTGGTTGATTTAATGACAGAATTGGTGGACACCTACAAAATTAGTTGAAGTTCAGTGTAAGCATATCCTATATGTCTGATTGTCTGGGATATTGTAACTGTTTTTTGGTGCATATTGGCGAATAGATTGCTTTTAATTAGAGCTTTTCTGATGGTTGCTACCAATACTCGCCTATATTGGGCAATTATTATTTTTTGTTTATCAGTTGTAGTGGCATACTAAGTCATGACTGCTATAACCTCTAACCTTCACCTTTTTATTTATTTTTTATTTATTTTTATTTTTTAGCTTATTTAGGTGAAGTTTGCAATCCAATACATGAGAAGAGTTATCCAGAAAAAGGCAAAATATGACATATTAACGTGAACACCATTAAGGTATCTGATCTATGAATATTTTTTCTATCTGTTCTGAATCTATGACTAAACAAGTTGACATCCCGTATATATGATAGGTTGAATCTGTTTGTTCATCTATACATATAACACGCCCTTACTCTTTTAAACCACTATTAGAATTTAATTATGATTAGAATTAATTGATGTCTGGGGTGTTTCAATTGATCATCTAGGAAGAAATATATGGTTCTTTAGTAGCACCAAAGGCTTGAGAGTAGGAGTTCTTAGTCATGCAAATGGTTTGCTTGCTAAATCTATTTCAAGGCTGGAAGAAGAGTTAAAACATATGTTATTGTGTTATATGTTTGTATTTGAATGGTAATGATGTTGTTCTTCTGGTGCAAAAATCTTCCTTTGAATTCATTTTAGCTTAGGCTCTACTTTTCTTTCATTTCAACTTCATTTTCATGTTCATCATTTACTGTTTGTATGTGTGTTGTGTTGGCATTGGAGGGTGGTGGTCTGTCATTTTGTTCTTCTTTTGTCTAATTGTAAGACCTTCTAACAATTGAATTTATTTTATGTGGAAACAATCATTTTGATCCCGTAGTTTGAGTTGTTTCAGTTACGTATCAATACTTAGCATTATTTTTATCATTTACAGATGTGTGCTTTTCAAGCTTTGTTATATTCAAATTTTAATGCACTTGATACTTACTTCAGAATCATTGGCATTGATCAAATAAGGTGACCAAATTCTTATCATTGATCATTCAATACCTTCTCTCTTTGCAAAGTTTTTTCACCCCTCTTAAAGCTTATTAACTTTGATATGCTTCAAGTTATTCCTTGGTATAGAATCCACCTCAACTGCTTTCAAAATAATCAGATATTCCTTTGAATTATTGAAATTTCAAAAGAAATTGATTTAATTTTTAATTTTTATATTTTTTTTATATTTAGGCAGGCGAGAGAAAAGAAATTGACAAAGCAGAAAGCTTTAGTGAAAGCTAGAAAGCTTCAGTGAAAGCTAGAAAGCTTCAGGTAATAATTTATCAAGTTATACCTTGGTATGGAACCCACCTTAACTGCTTTCAAAATAATCAGATGCTCTTTTACATAATTAAATGAATTTTTGAATTTTCGAAAGAAATTGATTTAATTTTTTTTTTTGTATTTAGGCTAGCAACAGAAAAGGAATTGACAAAGCAGAAAGCTTTAGAGAAAGCTATTAGAGAAAGCTAGAAAGCTTCAGATAATAATCGTGAATATATTTTGGGTGAATATATTTTGGGTTATTCTTCTTTTCATAAGCTCGAAGTGCAAATGGTACTTGAAATGCAATGCTTATTTTGTGGTTCACAATTTTCCTGAAAGGTATTAAGATAGCTTCTTTTGTCAAATTTTCCTTCCTTTTTGGTTATGGTGGGAATAATAGCGGTTCATCTTTCAGAGGAAAAAACACACCAGTGCACACTCGGAAATAGCTGGAGTTAGGCAAACCTCACATTGTATATACATGCTTTACAATTTGTGGAAAACCACATGACTTCTGAAAATGATAGGAGAAAATATGATGTATTGGGACTAATATTTTATTAACATGCTTCTGGCGGTATTGGAGTTATACCAGGATGGGTAGATTGGGTTGACAGTTGTGCACATTACATTTGTGTTATGATTCTTATAAATAACATCTTATTTCGTGGATGAATTTATTTCTACTCTTCGTTTAGGCATTGAAGATGATGCAACTCTAAACTTTAACATCTTGATAGATTGGAAGTAGATATCTGTTTTTTATTCTCCACACTTTTGTCTAACTTCTTTTCGAGTGATAGTTTAGTTATTTTCTTACTACTTTCTTGCTGGTTACATACATATGGTTTATACAAAGTAAGAGTTTCTGGTGATGGGAATTATCAGATATCTGCAATAATGAGAATGCAAAGTAATAGGTTTGTCATTTTTTGATTTATATTAATTTCTTATTGTTTCGCAGATTAATAATTATGAGACTGATTATATTTATTGTGTTACTGTGTAGTGTTGCAAGGTATAAATTCTATTATGAATTCTTCAGCTGATTTGGGGCAGGTGATATGAACTTTTATCTAAAGTTTATTTGTTTTGTTTCTTCACGATGCTTAATGTCATCCGGAAACAAATAGTATTTATCATCACCAAGTGGTACAAAAAGTATTTTAAATTGTTCTTTAACCAATCTATCGCCAAGTTTTCCAATGGGTTTCTTATTTTATTATCCATTTTTTCTTTTGCAATAAACCAAAGTCTTTCCATGCTCGAGAGTTAATGTGTGCTCAAAGAGATAATTTGTTTTGTTTGATCATTCTGTTATAATATTCTAAGTAGTTGCAAGTTTTAAAAAAGGAGGATAGGTCTTTTTGTTCGCTGAGAAAAAAGGAAATGTAGGGAGACAGGTCTGTTATATGAACAAATTAGCATGGTTCATCCTAATGCTATATAAGTTAGGTTACTGATTTGTTCATCCTAATGGTATATAAGTTAGGTTACTGATCTGTTTCCTCATTTCTTCATTGGTGATTCGTATTTTCAGTGATTTTAAGAATGGGTAATAAGTTTTTGTCAAGAGTTAATGTGTTTAGTTTCATTTTTTCTAATTTCTGTTCTATATGGTTTTGTGTCATGTGATTGGAGTTTCATGTGATTCGAGGTTCTAAAAGAGAAACATAACTTTTTTATTTATTTGGTCAGAGGAGGGGGGAGGAAGTTCTGTTCAAATTTGGTTTTTCCAATGGCTTTGGAAGAAATTATATCGCTATTGTTATTACAGGTGTCCAGTTTGCAGAAATGACAAGGTATGCTACAATCTATTCTTTGGTAGATTTGATTCAAATTGGTAGATTTCGGTAAGAAATAAACTTTTATCTTTTCTTTTAGTTAAAGACAGTTAGGACATCAATTTGTAAAAGATATGAATATTAACAATGGTGATAGAACCATCAAGCCATATAGTTGTAAATAGATTTGAACATATATGTAAATATTACATATTATTGCATATCGTGTGTATTTATAACTTTCTACATGTTTTATACAGTTTTGAACCCGCAGCATCGCGCGGGCACCGTTGCTAGTATATACTAAAAGAGAAAAAAGCCTAAAACACTGTTCATAGCACAGTGCACTGACGATTTTGCCCTTGCTTTGGTTCTTTTATTTCCTTTCTGCCAAAATCGCAGTTGGTGCCCGTCTTTGGCGCCACTCCTGATTTACACGTGTTGTTGGTAATGTACACGTGTTCGTAATCTTGAAAGAAGAAGGCGGAAAAGCCGACCTTTATCCATTTGCTTCCAGAAACAACGAGCTCTCTCGCGCAGCAACCACAAGCTCTATTTTGGAGAAACTACGAAACATCTCGACTTCTCTCTCAGAGCCCAGCTCGAGTCCTCAGGTAAAAAGGAGAAATGCTGATGGATAATTTTTCTACGAAACATCTCGACTTCTACTGATCTTTTGTTTCTTGGGTTGATTGCACTTCTTTTTCGTTATTTTTGATGCAGATATGAAGAGGATTTGTGAAGTTGCTGTGATTTCATGCTAAGTATCTTTGAACGGATTTGAGAATTTGGGATCGTATGGGGTGTTTTGAAGGTTTTTATTTTTATTTTTTATTTTGGGGAAAAAAATGGTTAACAGGTCCTCTGTTAGGATTTTCCTGGCAAAGAGTATAGAGCAAGGGAAGGGAAAAATGAGAGAGACATGGATTGGAGCATTTTTTTTTTAATACGGGTTGAGGCTTTTTTTTTAATTGATTTGGGGTTCTGTTTGGGTTTGGGGTTGTGATATTTCTGTGTTTAATTTGGTATTTCATAGTTTGGAGTTGAGCGGTAATTTTTTGGACCTTATGATCTCATTTGTGATTATCAAGTGCATAATGGTTAATTTTTTTTTAAATGGTGCTCAGAATTATCACCATTTTCCCCTTTAATTTTCGGTGGAAGCACTGTTCTCTTCATGCTAATTGTTGAATTGTTCGAACCAGTCTGTTGTATATATATATTTTCCCCGTTCCTCTGTTTGTTGTCTGTGTAAGTACGAATTCATCAATTTATCAATTGGGTTGTTCTTCGTTTGTAATTTCATTAATTGGGTCTTTAGATACATTTTATTGTTGAGGAGGTGAGATGTTGCCTACAATAGGCATCAACTATTACAAAAACCTTTTTAATGAAGAAACAAGAGAAATAGAGACAATGAAGATTGTAATCAACAGCTGGGGGGCATGATCGTTTATGATACCTTAAAAAGAATGAAAAACAAAACTTAGTGCTTGGATACAAAGAAAATTAGGAAGTCAGATAGATGTTAACATAAGGAAAATAATTCCACCGCTTCCCTCCTCTAACTTGATGACCATCCTTTTGGAACAATGTTTGATGAGTTCTTATTTCGAATGTGTTTGCCTTACCATTGTAAATTGCTGGAGGTCCTTTTGTTCTTTATCTTGCTCACAAGCATATTGATATGTAAATGTATGTAATAATTTGTGTACTGATAGGATATATGCATTACACATGTTATGTTTGTTACTATTTTAAAGCATTATTAGATAGCATGTTGCATATTCTTTTAATACTTACTTTATTATTGCAAATTTGTGAATCTTATACCATAGCAAATCTTATGAATTCTCTTTTTCCACTGTATCCAAGGTTGGGCAGATGGTGTGCTTCGATGTATCATTTTGATAGCTTTTGATAGCTTTTGTGTAATTTTTTTTCACTGCAAGTTTGTAAACATTTACATATTGCCAACATAGATTTTGATATATAAACACACTTTCTTTCTAACAATATATATACTTTGTCTGCAGACTTACAAAACAATGAGCATCGTACCAATCTGTGAATTAAAGCCTTTTAGAAACGATATGAAGATCAAAGTTAGAATATGCCGGTTGTGGAGACCCAAAATGTTTGGACGCCAAAACCAATTCAATGGCTTACAATGTGTACTGGTTGATGAACTGGTGAGAAAACCATTTTGTTTAAATGTAATATAGTTAAAACTATAATTTCAAAAGAAGAGAAAGCTATAAATAACTCTTTATAATTTTTGTAATGCAGAATGATGCCATTGAAGCCTCGGTCTTAGAAGCAGACTATGAGATAGTAGCTCCAAAAATTAAATTTGGTTGTATATATGAGATCACACGGTTGCATAGCCGTTCCAGTAAACAAACGTACAAGGTCGTACCACACACTGTACAACTATACTTCAATGGGAAAACAACTTTCAAACAAATACCAGAAAGACCTCCACACATTCCTGAGCACCGCTTTTATTTAGTGGATTGCAGTGAATTGTTATCCCGTGTAGATAAAGTTGAAATTCTCACAGGTAATTAAATACATTTATAAACCTACATCTATATGCCATTTTTGTTTGTCAACATTTTTTCATGCTATAATCTTAGGATATTGGATTGCCAAATTGCAAGATGTTATGGGACATATCACATCAGTGCAACCATTGGAAGACAGAATGGTTAACAAAGAAAGACTGGAAACAAAATGTGACGTTCACCTTCAAAACACCAGGTAATCATTTTATCATGTGGTAATCGTTCATTAGACATTGAATACGTGTCAAGCGTATATTCAACTATAACATGACTGACATTATGGGAAAGAATAGGCAATTGTATTTAGATGGGTGGAATACAAAAACTATTGATGCAGGAACCTGAACCTATGGTGATCCATATGCAATTTAAGGTGATTTCATTAATGAGTAATCAAGTTCTGTTTTTAATTTTTTCTTCTTTTGATATGTGAATGTTGATTGTCGAAGAACTGAAGGTTGCTAGGTTGGTGAAAATCTGAAAGTAAACAAGTTGGAAATGCTGTGCACAGAAATGGAGTGTTCTGCAAAATGGTTTTCACACACACATATATGGACTCCAAAAGTAAACGAGTTGGAAATGTTTCGTAATATTTTGCTCTAACTTCTTTGGTCAGAAACGAAGAAGTGAGAGTTACACTTTGGGGAGACTGCGCCAGGACCTTTGATATTGAAGTTGTAACACAACAACCATCACCAATTGTGGCTGTGTTCACAAGTCTCAAAGTAAAACGGTTCCTAGGTATACAACTTAACTTTACTTCTTTCCAATGTTTACATTGTATTACAAAAAATAACATGCTTCCATATCTGCAAACCCACAGGAAACACAATGCTTAGCAGTACCGGATGCACTTTGTTTTTCATAAACCCAAAAATACCAGAAGCAGCAAATTACAAATCAATGTAAGTTTTTTTTACCATTTTCTGAACAATATATATATATATATATATATCACTCAAATAATATTAAAATTCAATCTCATTGTGTTACCACTTAACACAAAATGTGCAAAAACTTTGCCAGTTCCAGTCATGCTTTGAAAATGATTCCAACCTCAGCACAACTAATGACACCAGATCAATTGGATGCCGCTGAAAAACTATCAGTAGGGCAATTGAATATCTTGGATCTAAATCTTTATCAGGTAAAATGGAATGCATTCCAAATTTAACAATGTTGTATATTTAACAGTGTTATATTGGTCTCAAAATTCGTTTTTCTGGGTTGTCAGCTTTTGTATCCATGCAATTAGTATAATAGAAATTCTGTTTTGATTGCACATACAGTTTTCATTGATGTCTAAAACATTTCCTGAAAACTGGATGAAGAGTATAAGAATGTAGGTTCGTGTCTGTTCAAATTATACTCATCATTCTTTAACAAATATTGCAGAACACTCCATTTCTGTGCAGAGCAGCAGTTGCACGGTTTGATTTGAGTAACGGCTGGTGGTACAAGGCATGTCTAATCTGCTTCAAACAACTAAAACCAAAGCCTCAAAGTGACATGCTGGTTTGTCCAACTGATGATATTCAAAACCCTATTGCTTGGTAATACAAAATTACTCTGAATCTATTACTATATAAAACATAAACTTAATTATACTTCTTTATAAATAATCACATCAATTTCAACGCAGGTTCAAAGTTAGTTTAATTCTTGAAGATGCCAATGACGAAACCAATGCCATCATTATAGGTAAATCAGCCGAAGAACTATTTGGAATCACATGTGAAGAATTAGTAATCAACAAAAGTTTCTGTGACCAAAATGAATTACCACAACAAATACTCCGAGTAAAAGGTCAAATCAAACTTTTCCAACTCAAACTTGGGAAAGTTAAAAGTGACACAAGCAGAAATGACTTGCTCATCCAAACTGTTTTCAAGGATCAAGCACAAATTCACCCTTCAAACAACAACAAAGATGATGAAGCAATAAGTAACCTTGGGAAGAAACATATGGTTCATGAAATGTTACCATGCACACCACCACTCTCACTCAAGAAATCTCTACCTTCATCTCCAACTGAGAGCAGTTCAAGTTCAAAGAAACGACAAAGGGAGCCAGTCAAAAAGAGTCTTTTCACCTCTACACCAACAAAAAAAATCTAAAAGGTTAGTCTTTATAAAAAAATAAATAATTGACATAAACCTTTTTTCCATTACTAGATGTGCACTGATGCTTTAATCTCTCTTCATTTTACATGATCCAAGTGATACCACAAGTGGATACAGTGAAGAGACCTATGCATTTGAAGAGACCGATGACGAGAATGTAGCAAACACAGATATAACTCCCAGTGAATAGAGTATGGATCCCAACACTCATAAATCAATTTTCTTAACAATTTTTTTTCCCATCTTCAATGAGTAGTTTCTCTAACACAGAACTATATCTTATAAATATTGCATAATATAGATATAAATATTTTATTTGGGTTGTCGATGAGACCAACTGGAAAATCTAGAGAGTTTATTTATTATGGCTGCAAAATATATGCAATTTAGAGTCATTCAATTCTTATGTCAATGTTTTTTTTTCTTCAGTTCATCGTTGTCATGCAAGATGGAGGAGGCACCATTAACGTGAGGAGTTACGTATATGGGTGTCTTTAGTGAAACAAATCTTACTTTTTGAGTTGTGTACAGTTTTAGATGTAAAAGTCTCCCTGGGATAGGACCATAGCTTTTGAAAAACAATCTCTGAGGATGATATACTAACATCCTCAACTTTTTGCATGTAATATATAAATGTAAATAGAACTCTCTGGCTATGGCGTACGACCATCCCAATTTTTGTCGTGTAATATAAGAATGTAATATATGTATATCCCTTACTTTGGCACATATTTTCTCATGTATATAAGCCCTACTTTGTACACGTTTAAGATCATTTTGAAACCCACAGCATCGCGCGGGCCTCAATTGCTAGTAGTAACAAAAACTCTACAAGAGTTGGTCAAATTACCTCTATAGTATTAGTAATTGTTAATAAAACTAAAAGAAAACATAATTGAATCAGGACAACTTAATAAAAAATAGGCCTAAAAATATATAGTAAAACATCTTTATAAGAATGCTCTATTTAAGAATAACCTTCTTTATAGTCATAAAAATTTATGGTCAAAAATTGGAGCTAGTTATGTATATAAATAAACTCTACATTGTAATAAGTTATAATTGTCATATGTCCCGTATTAAGGAAAATCACCTCCATATAATAATAATTGTCCATAAGTACAAAAATATGCAATGTCACAAGTAAACATTTAAGATGAACTAAAATATTTCTCTATAATTATTTGAGACAATATTTTATTTTTTAGAGTTAATATCACGCCTTTGAACTTACGAGTACGTAATACCTCGTCAATATGAACAATTTATTGTTGAAGCCATACTGTTTTTAGCTTCACAAGCATGTTTATAGATAGGCATTTAACTTAAAGAAAGTACTACATACGTACATATATGCAATAGATTTTAAAGGTTGAGTGTATTTTTTTTTTTTTTCAGATTTTACATCTTGGAAACCAACGTACTCCACTAATAGTTCTTCTTATCTTTTTTTTTTTTTTGGTCAATAGTTCTTTGTATCTATACAATTTTTATTGAGGATAACTAAGTAAACAATAATACTATTTTTTTAGCTGCACCTTTATTAAGTAATAACCTGCTTAAAGCAGGGTCGGTCTTGAGATTTTTAAGGCCCTGGGCGACCCAAAAAAATGTGACCTAACTTTATATAAGAAAATTATTGTTTTCGCACGTAAAACTTCAATAAAGTTATTACTTACAAAAGCACTTCAAGCTCAATAATTTAGAAGCACGGAAAAATTAATTTCTTTTGTACAGGAACGAAAAAACCTCGGGCTTACAAGTAGATGGATGATGAGTCTTGTTTTTCTACCTGAAAGTTTTTATATAAATCGTGATGTGTTTTTTCTTATTTACTAATCTTGTCAATATGGGTCTATAAAAATAATGATGCTTTCGAGTCTTTAATTGATATGTATAAGGAATAAATGATACTAAATTAAACTTATTGGTGACACATCATATGATTTGCAAATTTGGTCTATGCATTACTCTTTGTTTAAATTTAGACTTGAATTGACACAAATGTTTTAAAATTGCAACCCACATATCTAATAGCTAATAATTAAAAAGAAATTAACAACCAAATAGAAACTCGTAAAAATTGAAAAGAACAAACATGCACACAACATTTCGAACTCAAGATCTCTCATTAATTTTAGCAACAAAAACCATTACTTTTGATTAACCTCTAGATCATTTAGCCAATTTTCATAACTTTAAACCCATGAAAAGAAATTCGTAAAAGTTGAAAAGTAAAAGAGACATATATTGTTTTGAACCCGGGACCTCCTTGTTTATTTTAAATAAAATAAACAACTACTTACCAAATTTTATACATTTATACTCATATGAAAAGAAATTTGTAAAAATTGAAAATAAAATAAACACACATGGTGCTTTGAACCCAAGACCTCCTCATTAATTTTAACAAAAAAAAAAAACCACCAATTATAGTTAAATTTCTTTGTCAATTAACCAAATTAAAATCTATACTCTTATAAAAAATATATATCAATATAACATAACACTTTAATAATTTTGGTGCCCCCAATTTTTTGGGGCGTCGGACGATCGTCCAGCCACATTCAAGTGAAGAGGAATACCACTAGACCATAGTACTGAGTGGCAGCTCAACTTAAATTAGGCGTAAAATGTTTCTTGCAGGAACTTAAGAGTAGAAAAAATGTGCTATTTTTGGGCATCAAGAAAGGATTGTGTTATTATATAATTAAGGCTTAAATGTTAAAAAGATCCATGTGTTTTAGTCATTAAGTCAATTTAGTCCATATGTTTTTAATTTGACCAATTTGGTCCTTGTGTTTATCTCCTTTAGCCAATTAAGGATATTTCCATCTAATTTCTGTATAAACTATTATAACTTAATTATTAAATTATTACAAAAAATTATAATTATTATAAAATTATTTATTTGATTTTAAAATGAAATAAAAATTAAAAATTAAAAGAAAAATTAATGTCCTCCCAACTCCCCGAAGTCTCCTTCCTAACGTTACCCGCTCTATTTTCTATGTCACAACCTTAATCATTTTTCAGATTGGAAGTTTTATCTCTTATATGTGTTATTTCTCATTGATTTGCATTTTTCTGTAAAGAGAAAGGGTAATCATATATCTTATAATTTTTCTTATGATTTTTTTTAACAAGACTGAATAAAATGTCCTTAATTGACTAAAGGAGACTAACATAAGGACTAAATTAGCCAAATCGAAAACATGTGGACTAAATTGACCATATATAGTTATAACACAAGGACAATTTTGACATCTAAGCCTATAATTAATTAGCTTTGATTTTTTACAGGTCCACAATACAGTGAAACCCTAAAACCAAAACCCTTGCGGATATGACTACCCATTCAATTCTAAGTCCTTAGCATATAATCATCATTTAATAGTCAAAACAACGAAACAAATAGATTTATATTAAAAAATCAAAGTCATATGAAAGTTGGTCTTAATTGATGCATGTAAAAAGCCCCATGTTCCCCATCTATTCATTCATTCCTTAATTCCTTCAATCCTTTCTGTTTTTCACAGACAGATAAAAGAAGCAAAATCTTTGTTTTCGCAACAAACCTTTAACTTTATCTTCATTCATTCCTTCATTTCTTCTTCCGCAGAAAATTAGATGCAAAATAGTCTTTGTTTGCCCAACAAAATGAAGTTTCTAAAAATATTTTTGGTGGCAGTGTTTTTAATGGTTTTTCTTATGAACATGCAATCGTCCGAGGCCTGCAGAGTGTTGCATGGGGAAGAAAAGTTTATGCATCAGATGGATCGTCCCTTCTTCCCTTTGATCAGGCAAATACTTAGGAGCACTACCCCTTCCGGAGGTCCAAATCCGACCACACCTTGAAGTAGTACCAATTCCAAAGATTCTACATCGAAGTGCAACCATCAACGAAAAGCATTAGCAGAATTAATTTTAAATCAAATTAAACATTTTATATATTTTCCTAGCAGTGAATAAGCACAGGAAAATGCCTGCAGTCTAGGTTTTTTTTTTCCTTACATGTAAAATTAAAGTGTATTAGCTTTACAATGTATATGAAGAAGTTGACTGAATATGACGAAGTATAGAATAAATTCTTTATTTACTATTTCTTTTTGGGCATGTATGCATCTTTAGCTCTAGCATGAGTTTATTTACCTTTTAATTTATGAAGTTTTAACAAAAAGCCCACGGTACTGTTTACCTTAACGAAAAACCACATTTTTACACTAAAAAGTCAAACCTGGTACTATTTACTTTACCCTTTATTTTGTCCTTATCGTTAAAACTCAAAGTTTTCAAGCTCTTTTCATTAGTTTTCTTCTAATTTAAGGTAGTGCTATTCACACACCTCTTTTTACCTCTAACACATCATTGGTAATTTTGTCTATTAATTTTTTTAATTCATTCAATCTGATGGCTAAAATTAAGAAAAATGTGTGAGAGGTAAAAAAAATGATGTGTATATAGCACCATCCTTAATTTAACAGTGAGTTTAAGAGCAACTGCCATTTATTGACAAGAAGTTAAACTGCAGAATTGCGAAAATTTATTACCTGCTCCACAAAACCTCTGACAATGTTTGCAGAGATGCCTATTATACCATATATATGTGTGTGTGCATAGTGAGGACTCTACATCTGGTTTAAAAGGCACCTTTGATGCCAACCTTGGATTGAGACGGCTCCACTGTCACTTGGTGTTAGTACTTCGCACGTTATAATTTGATGGATAAATAATATTGTGGAGCCAAAACTAATCATAAGGTGACACGTGAATTTTTGATGAAAAGGACAAACTTACCCTTGAGGCACACCGGATTTCCTACGATCGAGCAGTGGACAACCATTCTTCAATCAAGCCAAAAGTGCCCAAAATAGGTAACAAATTCAAAATTATTTCATCTATCTTCATCCTATATTCTCCATGAGGTATTTGTTCCATAATCTTCAAATTCCATATAAATTGAGTTAATTGGCTAATTAATGGATTTATTACCTAATTAATCTATTAATTGCCAATTAAATCACCCATCTCACACAAAAATACCCCAAAGGGCCGGCCACCTTTTCTCCAAAGGGGACCGGCCATGCCCTATATATATCACCCCATTTTCTCTAAAAACCTAGGTTCGACACTCTTGCAAAACTTCCAAAAACTCTCCAAACACTTTTCTCTCTAAATTCTAACTTTGACATCAGAGGTTCTTCGGCCAAAGCCCCCCCCATTCATTGTGGGCGCGTGAGGCTTTTGGCCTTGACCTAAGGTGTTATTTGTTTTGTAGATGTAATTTTGTCCAAGAACAAGGAGCAAAAGAATTTGCATCCACAAACATCACATGACAATGTAACTGTCACATCGAAAAAATGACTCAATCGGTATAGTAAAACCTTTTTAATTATACGTGATATCTAAATTAATATGCATTGACGTGAGTCATGTAATAATGAACGTTTTCTTTTTACAATGGCATGCAATATCATGAACGATATGCCTGTGGACTCTGGAGCATCAAAATATATATCAAACACTTGGCGTGCACTAATTGAATTCAATTCATATACTCCTCCCCATTGAGCTAGTTTGAGTTTAAACTAATTAATGTTGTTTTGCATCGTTTTAAAATTTGGAAATCATCAAGAAAATTTACATGCAAAAGATATGATATGTAATGAAATAAAGAAAGGGGTGTGCTATCCACACACCTCATTTTACTTCTCACACACCCCTTGATAATTTCTGTCTGTTGATCTTCTTCAATTCATCCGA